TACGCGGCGGAGTTCGTGCCGCCGCCGGAGTGCCCGGTCTTTGAGCCGAGCTGGGAAGAGTTCACCGACCCGCTCAGCTTTATCGGCCGCATCCGGCCTCTGGCGGAGAAAACCGGCATCTGCAAAATTCGACCGCCCAAGGTACCTGCGTCTGAGGAGAGGGGAGAAGAGGAGAGTGGGGGAGTCGATGCATTCGGTTTAGTTTTACTCTTCCGGTCCTTCTGTCTTTCCACATTCGCCCTCCTTTATTTCTCAACAACTAGAAGCTCAGTTTCTGGATGTTTTTGCCTTGGTTTCTTTTGCGGTCTGATGTACGCTTGTCTGAACACGGGAGTGGAGTCCTTGGGGCCTTTCCGCTTCGAACTTGGGAACTGATACGTTTCTTCCTGGATTGTGGGCAAGGGTAACAAAAGGCTTTAGGTTTTTTCGTTGGCCGATGAGGTGTTCGAAGTATTAATGGCATGATGTGTCCTACACTCCTGTACAGTCATTACAGAACGAGAGTAACAACTCCTCCGTCGGCTGTTTCTTTACCCAAGCCTTATTAATGCTTAATTTATTAAATATTTGCAGGCCTTGTCTCACGGCTAAGGTTTCTTAAGCAGTAATCTGAGCTCTCGTCGTCCCCCTAGGACGGTATCACCAAACAAGAACCCCAGCCTAATTACTGCTGCAATGAAAAAGTCTTCCCTGGGGAAGAGAAGGGGCAGCATTTATTTTTTAAATGTAGAGGTTTAGGAAGAGTTCTCAATGATAGACGTGGAAGAAAACGAAATCTTCTGATGCTAGGAACGGTGGATTAAAGATTTACGAATCGCAATTACTGCAAATAACCAGCTTTGCTGATAGGTTAATTACATCAATCTTTAAGGTAGAGAAAGCCGTTACTCCTACCCGTTTGAGGCAGTTAATGCCCCGAGACACGCTGAGCGATTTGTTCAAGGTCAGTAGAGTCTTTACCCATTAGACCAGTGCTTTTCCAATGATGTTCCTGGTGCACCGGCACCAAGGTCAGCCTGATGCGTGTGAAAATGTAGGTCCCTCGACCTCATTCCCAGGCGAGAATCAGTGTCTGTATGTGGAAGACCTGATAGAATATGCTTTTCTAGCAAGTACTCGAAAATGATTCTTAATGCACATTAAAGTTTGGGAACCATTGCCTTAGTGCTTCTTAAAGGAAAACCTTGCTTTAGGTTTTGTCTACTAATAATACAACTAAAATGTTAAGTACTGTTACCCGTGTTGCATTTTAAAAAGCATCTAGTCGCACTACAGACTACCATGGTGATGTGCACCCCAGTGAATAAAAAGAGATAAGGTGGGAGGGAGGAGAGAGGAGCTAATATAGCACCTACAAACTATTTCATTTAATATTCTTTGAAGCTCTACTAGGAGGTAACTAAAGTCTCATTTTACAGATGAGGCAGGTCTGGGTAAGTTAAACAACTTACCAAATGTATGATTTTGGGCAAGTTGCGAAGTAGATTTTGAACATAGACCCATTTGTTTGCTTCTAATATTCAGACATGCTACTCCCATTGTGCTAAATGAATTTAAGATTATAGACTATCAATTGCAAGTAAAGCATTAACAGATAGTTGCTATGGTGACTGATGATACAGGCATTGCCATCCTCCAAAAGCTTCATTTAACATTTTTCTACCAAAATTACCTTATATTGACAAAACCTTAAGCACTGCAGTTTTTCCTAAACCATATTTTTTACTGTTGCCTTCATGAATTAGAAATTCTGTTCAAGGTTCCTTTTGGTAAAACAAAACACAAGTTTTTTTTATTACTTAAAACAAGGTTGAAATAATAGAACTTCTCTTTGTATGTCACCTTAATAAAAATTTAATTTCAATGAACTTAATTTCAATACTGGTGGATTTCTTTAGTTTCCAAGGTAAGGTAAATGTTTTTGATTACTCAGATTTTCAAATAGATTTACTAATATTTAGGCCAAATCAGAGTATATTTTCTAGAACCCTACTTGCATTGTGCTATCTCATTTAGTTATACTGCATCTCCAATCTGGAAATTGTCCTTGTTCTATGGGTTTGCTTTAAAAAAAATTGTTTGGATGCCCATTTATATAACATAGACTGTAAAGTGCTGTGTCACATTATACATGAATGAAAAGCATATCCAGCCCTAACCGGTTTGGCTCAGTGGATAGAGCGACGGCCTGTGGACTGAAGGGTCCCAGGTTCGATTCCGGTCAAGGGCATGTACCTTGGTTTCGGGCACATCCCCAGTAGTGGGTGTGCAGGAGGCAGCTGATCGATGTTTCTCTCTCATCGATGTTTCTAACTCTCTATCCCTCTCCCTTCCTCTCAGTAAAAAATCAATAAAATATATTTAAAAAAACAAACAAAAAACATCCAATTATATAAGTACTTAAAAATTATTTTTAAATCTTTAATTGTACTCTTTGTTTCTTTCTAACTCTGCTTTCTTTTTTATTTGTAAACTTGAATGTTTATTAGACATTGTATTGAGATACATGAGCTCACTGCATTGTACTTGACTAATTGGGGAAAGCATAATGTGGGATGTAAATAGTGGTACTTGTGAGATATGAGGATTTATAGATAAAATTTTAATACTAAGAATATTAGAGATAAGTAATTGGAAATAAGTAATATTTTATTTCACCTGACTGTTGTGGCCCAGTGGTTGAGCGTTAACCTGTGAACCAGGAGGTCCTGGGTGGATCCTGATCTGGGCACATGCGTAGATTGCGGGCTCAATCCTCAGTGTGGGGTGTGCAGGAGGCAGCTGATCAATGATTCTCTCTCATTATTGATGTTTCTATCTCTTTCTCCCTCTCCCTTCCTCTCTGAAATCAATAAAAATATTTAAAAATATGACTCTTTCTGTCTGTATAATAAAGAAGACTTATTAGTTGTTTGTTCTCTTGTCATCATGATTTGTGATAACTCAGCCCTTAAATTAAGGGGAGGAATAATGCATTCCTTGCTTATATACGAATATATTTTAAAATAAAAATCTTTCTATTTAGGATTGGCAACCTCCATTTGCATGTGAAGTAAAAAGCTTTCGTTTCACACCCAGAGTCCAGCGCCTGAATGAACTTGAAGTGAGTATTGTATAGCCATTGCTGCCTCCTGATTCATTTTTTTATGTTAGGGCTCTTGGTGGAGAACTTTGAGAAGTTCATGTACCAGTGCTCAGAGCTAATGTTAATTGGGATTGAATGGAAGGATGTTTCTGATTAAAAAAAAAATGTTTCAGGTAGTTAATACTGTTTTTCCACTTAACTGGGATTATGGGCAATTATCTCTAGCCATATTTTTCGTAGTTGAAATATCCAGTTTAGTTAATTTCAGAAACCTGGAATTCTTAAGTTGTACTTTATTCAGCACTTGTTTTAATAAAAATTTTTGTTACTGTTAGAAGATCGGAAAATAGTTTTATAAATTCTATCAAAAAACCTAGTTTTCAGAAGTCCCACCCCCCCTCCTTTGGCTAACAGTACTTTTCCAGGGGAATAAAGTTTTAATTAATTTTTAAATTAAAATCTTAAATTAATTAAAGTTAATTTGATTTGTTAAGATGTCCCTTTAAATATTACTAATCTCTATTTAGATATTGTTGTTCTTGTCTCCCAGATTTTTAGGAGATTCTTTAGTGTGATAGAAAACTGTTTCAAAGTACAAAAGAGAGATCTTAGCTAAGGCTTAATATGTCATGTGAGGCTTTTTTCCCCTTGATGCTCCTAAAACATTTTCTGAGATTTTAATATATATCTTTCTCCTGTACGCTCTTGTAATTAGATACTTGATGAAAGATTTTAATATCAGTGAGGTAGAGAATTGGTGTTCCTTAAGCATGTTATCTACAGATGAAATGCCAGAATGCTTAATGAAACAGAATAATTTGATCTAAATTTTCTGGTTAGCTTAAATTTAAGCCATCTTCACCCAGAAAATTGCTTTGGTTGATAATATGAAAATCGTTCATATATATTAGTAACTTTTTTGCCTAAATCAGGGGTCCTCAAACTTTTTAAACAGGGGGCCAGTTCACTGTCCCTCAGACCGTTGGAGGGCCGGACTATAGTTTAAAAAAAACAACTATGGCCGAAGCCGGTTTGGCTCAGTGGATAGAGCGTCGGCCTGCGGACTCAAGGGTCCCGGGTTTGGTTCCGGTCAAGGGCATGTGCCTGGGTTGCG